CATTATGCAATCCACTTGTTGTAACCATTTCTACTTTTTTTTTATTGTGTTATCACCCCATTGACGTTTTGACACTGACTAATTATTGTGAACAAATATATCGCCACTTGATTGGTAGATTGTTGTGTATTGTAATTAAAATGCTATAGATATATATTAGAGTACAGTCAGAGATGAGGATCTAATTGAAAAGTAAATATTTCTTCGCTCAATCTTTCTGTTTTCTAATGGTTGCATGTACATTGATAATGTACTGAACGATGTGAATTTGTTCGAGTGAATTAACATCACTCTGACCTTGAGGTATCTGCGCCAATTTTCGGTGTTTGATTCTTGTAGATGGAGTCTTGACTCCACCATGTTGTGAATATTTTACTTGATTCTAAGTACTCCTTTTGGAATTAGACTGGAATGTATAGCTGCCTAACAGCACTGTCGATGTGATTTTGGTTTTTCTTAATGTTATTATTGTTTTTTATATAACCGTAAAATGATTCCAGAATAATCCTCTTTTTGCTGTCTTCGGAGGGTTTTGTGATTGTGAGTGTCTCAAGAAAGTTCTGACAGGTATATATAGATATATTATTGTTTCCTTTAATTCCTCGAGGTACATAAGGCTGCAGCCACGCGTCTCCATTGCGTTCGGTTCTCTACTACAGTCTTCACCTGGCTCCAAGTCTGCCCACACGTTTTCATCTCCTCTTCACATGACCTCCTCCAAGTCACCCTTGCATTGACGACCAACTCGCCGCTTCCCTTTCGGGTTCCACTCGAGGAATGGCTTGTCTAGTGATGTCACTCACTTGATGGTTTCCTTAGAGTATGTATGGCCAATCCATCTCCATTTCTTCCTACCTATTTGTTTCACAATCGGTTCCTAGTTGGTTCATTCATTGCCAGAGATCTCTGTTGCTGATCTTTTCTGGCCATCTGATATTGAGCAGTATTGAGCGAAGACAACTGTTAATGAAGGTGTGTAGTTTGTTTGAGATGCTCTTTATGACGCGCAGTGCAAGTCTCTGATCCGTATAGTAGCACTGACTTCACATTGGAGTTGAAAATACAGATCTTATTTTTGATGCTGAGTGTTGTTGACCTCCACACAGACTTGAGAGTAATGGAAGCTTGTCTTGCTTTTCCGATTCTTGCTTTGATATCCTCGTCAGTTCCGCCTGTAGTTGAAACGATGCTTCCCAGGTCAGTAGGTAAAAGAGGTTGTTTCTTTCAGGTTCCTCCCATTTATGCTGATTGTTGTCAGTTGTTGTTGTTGCTGTTGGTGGTGTTGCCCAGGAATTTTCATCACTTCTGTTTTCTCTATGTTCACCTGAAGTCCTATCTTTGATGCTACTTCTGCCAACTTGTTGCTTTTCGCTTGCATATCTTCCAGTTTTTGTGAAATCAGACATATATCATTGGCGAGGTTCAGATCCTCCAAGTTTTTTGTTTGAGTCCATTTTAAGCCTGTTCCCTCAGTGCCCACTGTTTGTCGCATTATCCAGTCTACTGCAATCAAGAAAATCATTGGTGATAGTAGGCAGCCTTGTCTTACTCCTGTCCTCACTTCGAAGGGTTCCGTAAGTTTCCCATTGTGGATTACTTGGGATGCAGCATTGTCGTACAGCTGTTGGATGAGGTGTATTATTGTCGGCGGCACCCCATAGTAGCGAAGTAGTTTCCAAATCACCTCTCGATCGACGCTGTCGGAGGCCTTTTTAAAGTCGATGAAGTTGAGATAGAGAGGGGACTGCCATTCCAAGCTTTGTTCAATGATGATCCGTAATGTGGCGATCTGATCAATGCATGACTTGTTTCTCCTGAATCCAGCCTGTTCCGGTCGAAGTTTTTCATCCAGGGCATGTTTGATTCTCTCCAGGATGATGCGTCTTAGCATATTGCTTGGGATGGACAGGAGCATAATTCCGCACCAGTTCTTGCATTGGTTTAAGTCTACTTTCTTTGGTAGTTTGAATAAGTATCCTTATATATATATATATATATATATATATATATATATATATATATTAGAAGTTAGAGTTCAGACCGTAACGAGTCAGTTTCGGTCGCTACTCAGATCGTTAAGTCATGGGACTATTTTCTACACATCAGGACTAATTAATGAGGATAAAATTCAATTTTTAGACATCTTAGTTGAGCGAACAAGTGCAGAAAATCAACTCACACTTATCAAAACTTATTTATAACAGCAACAACCACAAAAAACCACACAAAATGAGTTTTGCACAAACATTATTCAGTAGAGTCATGATGCACTATGGCACTTCCGCTTTGAGGAAGAATATAGGAGAAACATCACTATGAACATCTCCTAGAAATGTGGATATGCATGAAACCTCATTAAAAGGTGGCTACTGTCAACCCAGTCGACCAGCAGCTGATCAATAAAAGCGCACATGAAGAACATCTCTGAAATCGTCGCAAAACTATCGAAACCTTTGTGAATGTCGTTTACAAACGAAAAAAATCACTTCAATCTGTATTATGTCCATCAAAAGACGCAACAGTAAAAGAAGACAAAAATAATATCACGTAAATTTCAGAAATTGTGAAAAAAGACTGCATTGGTCAAAATGAACGTTCTCTTAGTCTTCACATCCCTGAGAGCATAAACTGTTTGTCAAAAGATATGATATCCATTCTCTCACATCAATGCATGCAGACAACTACGGACCTCCACCAGTGTGTGAATTCGTACAGATCGTATGGAAAGAAAACACTAAAATTGTTGAGAGATTACGAGAAACCTTGTATTCAGACGAGTATGAAATCAGTAGACACACTGATTCAGTGATAAGATTTATCAAGCAATTGAAAGGAAGTCATATGGACAAAGGGTTAGTTATCAGGTCAATAAAACACTCCACACCGATACAAGGGGACTGCGGATGTGAGAGAATTTCCAAAAACATGAAGGATTTCATCATGAGCTGACATCAGCTAGAGAACCACTGGAAACCCTGGGAGTACTGGATAGCTGTTTCGTCCTAGTTTGGGACACCAGTAGTACGAACCCACTGGGATTGGAACCCAGGACCTTCTGGTTACAAGGCGAGCTCGTAGACCATTGAGCCACTATGACCCGATCCAATGTCTGGATCCATGGTGAAATCCTCCATGCAATCAAACAAAATCCCTACAAAACCGATACTTGAAAATTTCCAAAAACAACGAGTCAGCTCTATGATTATCGACAAAGGTAGCTGAGAAACTCATGGAGAATTCTTAAAACTTGCTGAGCTGAAAATTTCGTCTAGAAAGACAATTAAATCTTCTCTACTAAATCATCCAGCTTGGAGAACACAGCCATATCAGCATACTAAAAGTTATTTTCTATCTTTCTGACAAGCTGATCTAATGTCTCCTTATCCACAAAGTCGGTTAGAACTCATACACCCCAAACACATCCTCTCTATATTCATGGCTATATATGATCCATACTTATTTTGCGACAGTTCAAGATGTCATTCAACTCGCCTAACTAGGCTGATGAGTTAAGTGAATCAGGATCCGAACTCTAGTGCCTAAGAAAATGAAAGTCAAGTGGTCAGGATAATCAGTAGCGTTTGAACAAAATACACGGGCGACGGGTTTCGTTTGACTAATTTTCCCTATCTTAATAATATAAGTTTACGTTAAATAACAAAGTGGCAACATCACGAATCATCATCAAACAGAGGATAGGGTGGCAGTCATATTTCTACCTCAACTTTATCGATTTTGAAAAGGGCCTTTGATAGTGTTTGTTGACTGCCAAGTATTTTGGGAACTGTTTAAACGCGACGGAGTGCTACAAATTCTTACCAAACAGCTCTTTGATGGTGCTACATGTCAAGTGATTCAGAACTTAAAGCTGAACAATAGTCCTTAAGTGAAGACAGGAGTAAGACAAGGCTTTCTGCCCTCACCGATGACATTTTTGACTGTCGTAGACTGTGAGAACTGCGAAGACATGAATACGTTGGAACGATAAAAAGACTCAATAAGATCTGGACTTTCTGCAGGATTTATGTCTAATATCGAATAAACTCGAATATCTGTAGGCAAAAAACAACAAGTTGGCAGAAGAAGCAGCGAGGACGCGACTTCAGACGAACGTACAGAAGCCAGAACTGATGAAGAAACCTAACCAACAACAAGAAAAATCAATCAATGTCAACAGGAGAAATTTGAAAGAGGACACCTCTTTCACTTTTTTAACTAGCACAAACGAAGATGTGAGTACCATTCAGGATCAGAAAGGCAAGAGAAACTTTCATCACCCCAAAATCAGTTGGGAGACATGCTGCACTCATCATTAAAGAAGCACAAAGTTCGGATTTACTCAAGGGAATCAGTGCTTCTTTATATCGTTCAGAGATTTAGCCAGAGCGTCACAAAGAGCATTTCGAACAGTTTTCTAACTTTTATCAACAACCGCCTTCAATTCATATTGAAAATCAACTGGCCATTAAGAATTAGCAACAAGAAACTCTGGGAACGAACCAATCAAGAATCATAATCGCCCAACAAATACGCCGGAAGAAACAGAGATTGATCAACCACAGATTGAGGTCGTTGAGTAGAGTCCGACTGGGAAACGACGAGTTATCCGCCGGGTCTAAGGGGTGGCATGGATGAAATCCTGTGAGATGGGCTGTTGAAACCCTACGTTCCATCCACTCAGAGCCCAACTGATTCTGGCAACTCATGAAACTGTTGAAAAGAAAATAACATTAATAATTTTTTCATTATTCAACTTTGCATATTTACCAGTAAACGAAGTCGTCATGTATTCGTGTGTTCGTGTGTGATAAGGAAGCACTTGTTTTCAAATGTAATGACCAATATATATAAGTAATTAAATCGAAAAGTCAAGATTAAAGGAAGATAAAACATTAATAATAATAATAATAATAATAACAATAATACGTGAATGCGAGCAAGTAGACTTTGTATACTCTTCTACAAATTGTATGCGTGTGTTTTTGTAGGCGGGAATTAGGGGGGGGGGAGGTTTGGGCGAAGGGTATTTCAATGGTGTTGAAGTTCTTCTGTCTCTTGGCAAACATTTGTTTTATACAAAACTAGATTTTAAAAATCCATCATAAGCTTGTATACTTTCTTTGTTATTATTATTACTATTTGAAATTGTCTTCGCTTGTCCTGTTGCAATACTACTACTAATGTTCATGCTGGCTGTACATGTTAATGGATTACTAGACGATGATATATCGCTTAATAAAGAAGCATTCTGTTGACTATTGTGACTAACATTCATTTTCATATCATTGAATTTCCAATCAGGATCAATAATCTCTTTTTGTTTACAATGTGTTAAATTGTTAATTAAATCAAAATTTGAGTTATTGTGGTTACTGCTGGTTGTAATTGTTGGTTGTTTTATTTGTCGCATATAAAATTGTTGTGGTAAATTGAACTCTGTTGGATTCAATATATTGCATGGTTTAAATTTACTTGTATAACCTGTGGTTATATCATTCCAACAATCCAATGATTGGTAATCATCTATTGGGATCAATAAAAAGGTTTTTTTTAAAAAGAAGAAAATTTAAATTTGTCACTATCAGTTAATAAAACAAAATGTTACAAGATTTCATCATGAGCTGACATCGGTTAGAGAACCACTGGATAACCAGCAAGGAGTACTGGACAGCTGCTTCGTCCAGCTAGTTTCGGAGTCTTCAGCAGTACGCACCCACCGCCAGCGTTCGAACCCAGGACCTTCTGGTTACAAGACTAGCGAGCTAGCTGGTAGACCTTTAAGCCACTGGGAAACAAAACAATGGACAGCCGATGAGTTTCAGCCTCTGCCAATTCACGGGATAGCGCGACCAATAGCCTACCAGTCACGGCTTCTCACTAGAAACCCCGAGAAAACTGCCTACTACCTGAGGCTCTAGTGGGAAGTCGTGACTGGCAGGATACAGCAGGTCGGGCGTGCTGGCAGATACTCGCCGAAGACATTGGCTAGTAGTTGCGCTATGTCGTGAATTGGCAGAAGTTGGAATTCATCGGCTGTCCATTGAATTGCGTCCCAGTGACTTAATGGTCTACGAGCTAGCTCGTTCATCTTGTAACCAGAAGGTTGTGGGTTGGAACTCTGGTGGTGGGTGGGTGCGTAGTGATGAAGAGTCCCACACAAGTTGGATGAAATAGCTGGTTGCCTAGTACTCCCTGCAGGTTTTCCAGTGGTTGTCTAACCGATGTCAGCTCATGATGAAATCCTGTAACCAGTCAATCTACAAACCAATTAATAAAAAACAAAACGTAATCAAAGGAGAAAGATATCAGAATAGAACTTAGGCGATGTATAGACCATAATTCCATTGTAGAATGAATCTATTTGGAAAGGAAAACTTCACAGTGATACAATACTATGTCTGCTAATGACGCTTGAAGAACAATTTCTCGTTCATAATCATATCTAGACATTCAAACAACTTTCAGATTTTGTTTATACAGTGATTGCATTATTTGTTATCCTTTAATTTTATTAGTAGTAATACATTTTCTTTATCTCTGGTGATTAACTCTTTTAAAACCAGTCATGAGACGATATTGAGTGAAAGCCATTAGTTAAACCACTGCTATACCACTAACTGACATCACCATGGAGTAGTCGAGAGTTTGATCCTACTTTGGAACTCTCCAGCAGTACTCACCCATCGATGTTCGAACGCAGGACATCACAGATACAAGATGAGCTCACATACTCTTCAGCCACTGGCACTCAACTCACTGGTCCATGAATTTTAACTTCTGCGAGTCCTTAATATTTGACTCGACCGCTAACCAATGTCACAGGTGTGTTACTGTCTTCTTACCTGAACTGGTGGACCACGCTGGTCGTTATTTCTCACTTAAACTCTAGGTAACTTTGTATATGGAGCCAATTGCTAGTAAGCATCAAAATAATAATCAAGTGTTAGTTTGAAGACATTTGATGCGTGTTAGAGAACCATATCAGATAAGCAATGGAGAGTACTGGACAGCTGTTTCGCCCTGGCTTAGGACTCCTCAGCAATACATGTCCTCTTTTTCCAATAGTTCTGTAACTAGTATCAGCTCATGATCAATCCTACAACCAATCAGATCCCTGCAAACTTACGGTCAGATAGTGAGTGATCTAACCTAAAATCCCCCCAAGATCTCTTAAAAAACCCCTCACTTAAGTTATTCTTGCAGTATGATGACCGAACTGGACAAAATAGTGTTTTGAAATAAAAAGAATATATTTTGAAAATTAATCACACCTCTTTATCCTGGTATATCTTTGTTATACTGATTGATAAAGCGTCACCTACAGCCATCTAGTGCTTTGAATTTCTGGCTGGATGTTTTATTTTAGGCTAATAAAAGTCTTTTGTCAGTGAATTACTACATATATATATGGGTGTGCGTCTTATATCCCTCACATCCCTTAGAAATATAGACGTCGAATTGTGATTATACATAACTCTTCATTCATATTGGATTTTTATTTTCACATCGTTCTCAGTGTCACTTGCAGTTACACTTAGTCGATAAAAAAATGATAAAAGTTTACATTGCGTGTGTTTAAGGTAATCAACTTAAAAGGTTTTTAATTTTTATCAATGAGAGCAGGTTATCCTTATGAGTAATACACTGCCAAGCGACATTTATATTATTTGTTATCACAAATAATATAACCTTAGTCAGTCATTACTCTTATATAATAAGATTCACCCTTCAAGTGGAAGGCGAAACTAAAATTCCCTTTCTTTATACTGACCTAAAACGACGAGCTGACGGAGCTTTAAGAAGGTCTGTTTGTAGGAAACCTACATGCAATGTTGATATTGTTTCTAAACCTGATTGATGACTTGACGAAAACGAAATGTTGTTGTATTCCTTGCCACTTAGGTCTGAGGTATTTTCAGTCCAAATACTTTGGAAGAAGAGTTAGAATTTCTGAGTGATGTCTTCATACAAAATGGACATCCATAAAGGTTAAATGGAAAATTCATAGACATAGGACATTTTTCATACGATAAAGAAGGTTTCACATGAGCCCTGAATTCGAGGGCCGCCTTACTTGTGTTATCCATAAGCGAAAAATTGCAATACCTATGAGAAAAGCTTTGTTTGCAGCGATTCTAGGAGTTGAGTTCTTCAGATGCTGAATGACTTTCTGTATGCATCTATCAGTTTACCTGCTTCCATGGAGTGTGGTATAATAATAGCTTTATTATGAACAACGTTTATATAATGTACAGAATTTTCAGTGGCATTTATCCAGGATCTTCAAATAAAAGATTAATTGATAGTAGGTCACTTGACGCAGTCCTATCTGACCTGAGGAGTAATCGAATCTAAAATGAAATCTCTTCTTTTCCTCCTTCGAGAAATGCACGACAGTTTGTTGAGTGCCAATTACAAAAAGTCCAGGAGCACATTTTGTGTGACCCAAGGACACCATTCAGGAACGGTCATCTCATCTATTGTCGGGATGAGCTGCCATTGCGAATCAACAGTTTGTAAGTGTTTTAAATACCCGCCAAAGTAAACAATACTATTAGACGTCATATTTTAATAGATTTAAACGAATATATATGTGCATTAATGGATGAAGATTTCTGGGTAGCCTAAATTTTAAGCAGGTCGTTGGATACGTATCTCGTCTAAAATAGTTTCAAGGGGGGTAGCAGCGGCTCCGTAAGGAGTACAGCTGTTGAACATCTCATTGACATTTGCCACTTAATCTCGAAAAACGTCTCCTTCCAAGTGGTCTACTAAGTGGAGAGTAACCTATCGAAGACAATCTGCGTTTGCCTCTTCTTCTTCATCGTTGAAGCTGTAATCGAAGCTTTGCATACAAAAGACAATCTTTTGAAAGTTTCTGGTATCATGGTAATGATCCCACTGTTTCAAAACCAGTGGGTTAACTTTTCTAAATATTCTGTTCCTTCAAATTTTTTACAAAACGCCACATTACATTTATTTCGATATGCAGGCTGATTACGACTCGCTTAATGGGTGATTTATTTGATTATTTAACTTTATCACCTGTATTAAACCGACTTCAATCCCTACAAATTAACTCTCGAAAATTAATCTGATACTCACTGGTGACTGACTGCAGTTATGGTGAGAAGGCATAAACAGTGGGGTACACTCACTCCAACTTGAGGACAAATACTCGCCACCGATGATATCGGTTGGCGGTCGAGCTGAAATCATGAATCGGTAGAGGCGTGAATTCATGGGCTGGCCATTGAGTCGTGTCCCAGTGACCAAATGGTCTACGAGCTCACCTTGTAACTAGAAGGTATTGGTTTCGAAAGTCGCTGATGGATGTGTGCGGATGATGGGTCCTGGACTAGGACGAAATGGCTATCCAATACTCCTTGCTTCTCAGTGGCTCTGTAACTGAAATGAATCCGTGATCTCATCCCCGTAAACTAACTCTTGAAAATTAGTAAGCATATGGATGTCCCACCTATGACAATGGTTAGGGTCGCGCTAAATCACGAATTGGTAGAAGTTAGAATTCATGAGCCATTGAATCGGGTCCCGGTGGCTGGATGGTTATAAGAGCTTATCTTGTAACCGGAAGGTCCTGGGTTCGAACCCCAGTGGGTGCGCACTGTCGATGATTCCTAAACTAGGATGAAACAGCTATCCAGTACTCCAGCACTGGTTTTCAATGATTCTCTAACTGGTATCAATCCGTGATCAACTAGCAGAAACAAAACTAACCCTTACAAACCAAACCGTAGAATACTTATGACATCTCTTTTTGTGAAAAAAATTGTATTTAAATGTGGTTGTACAGTTAAAAGAAATGAAATCGCCTGAATGACTCTCTCCTCACTGAACTATTTGTTTCTTTTCATAAAATGCTGATACCATTTGAAGCATGATCGAAAACAAAACCGTCCCCTAGTGGCTTAACACGGTCTTTGAATTTCAAAATCCCAGTCATTTTTAACTTGAATATTCTGTCTAGCGATTACTGAATAGTCAAGGAAAGCTCCTAGCTGATCAGTAGAAATTATTTTGCAAATGGGGATATCGCTTCAAAATTGAACTGTAAGCAGACCTGTTATCTATGTCTAAACCAAGTTCACTTTTAACAGTTTGGGCATCGGGTATATGATATTCATTATAATAAAGGTTTTCTGCATTTCCCAATAAATGAATGAAAAACAAAACGATATTATTTTTTTTACTGACGTTTCGCTACTTAATGCTGCTTCTAATAGCCTTATCAAAGTATTATTAAACCAGAATTCACAAAATCTCAGGTTATATATGCAGCAGCTTAATCATCGTTCATCAGCATGAGGTCATTTTTCGTTGTCAAACTGGCCAATTGATAAAGATACCAAAAACAGGTTTAGATTGTTGGATTTGATAAGTGTATAAAATTATAAAGGCAGCGTGTATTTACATAATGAAATTGCTTAACACATTCGTGTTGATTTTGTCACTTCATGGCGGAGAGAGGTATTGTAACCATATCAGATTCTGTTTTAGTCCAT